TCTTGTTTAAAATAAAAATGATAAAACTAAGCATTATGGAGTTCATAATTTTAATTTCTCACAGTGTAATGATCTCATAAAATACTTTTAATTTCAACATAAATTGACATAGGTTATTGCAGGAAGCAAAGTGTCAGACAATTACGTGTTTCCAACTTAGTCTACGGCACTATCGGCTTTCGGCACAATGACGAGATCGTTCGATTCTCGTTATAGATAAATGAGACGGACAATACCTATTAACGTCGTATAACTCGGTTTTCATCGAATTCTTTGAGGAATTCTTGTTACAAAGAAGATATCTTGATTTTATAATAAATATTTTATATATTATGTTTTATTATTAAATTTTATTAATGTATTTTATACCCGATTATTATATTTATAAAATTTGCAACGAGAATTAAAAAGAGAAACACGGAAGCTATATTTATTACAATATTTGAAATTTTTGAGCACCAAGTTAAGTTGATTCTCAAGTTTTTCATCAAAAGGCAATTCATGGACTTTTTCGCCAAAAATTTCTGATGTTCCTAAACAGAAATGAAATGATCGTTCTCAGAATTGATTGAATTAATGTATTGCCCTATACGTTATTGGATTTTATATGGATTACACCGTCACGCATACACATTGCACGAGAGTCGATAAAGATAAAACTTATGCGGAGTTTTAAGGAGTTTATGTGAGTATACGTGGGGACTTAATCGCGAAGAGATTAAAGAGACTTTATATCGTGTCCTTCGTGCTTAAAAGTAATCATTTATCTATGTTCACACACCCTTTGTGTTAAAAAAATTAATTAACGTAAGTAAAAAATAAATTATTTATATATCCTACTAAAAAAGCGTTTTATACATCTCAATAAATTGATAAAAAAGATAAAATAAAATTTTTTATGTTACTGATAATAATTTGTTATTTGTTTATAAAAAGTAATACTTAATTTCTAGTGTTTATTGAATTTTTAATTTAATTGCCAATTTGCGATATGTAACTATAAGATCTAATAATTCCTTTACTCGAATATATAAATTTATATATGTATAAATATATGTATAAATATAAATATATATATATTTATTTTTTATGACATGCACAAAAATGCTAGTAATAATTTTTCCTAAATTTGCTTTTAACGCTTTTTACGTTGTAGGTTATATATCCTGTTGTATAGCGTGTTTCTATTGCGAGCCTATCTAACCTTCCCTTTGTCTAATATAATTTTTATAGCATAGGGGATAGATAATAAAAGTCACGGTTACTTTAAAGTTGTTAACAGTTTCTGAAAAAGATGGTGTGAAAGCAATATCATATTCTTGGATTTTGCTGCAATCACTAATTTAAAATAATTATAATCGTAAAATGTAAAAAAATAATATGACGTAATTTCTTTATAACAAAATATTCTACCATATATTTTATTAGTGACAATTAAATCTATTTACGTAATTCTTTATTACTTTTTTTCACGCTTTTCAAGATTTATGTCAAAAGTAACATTTACTGCCACAATTATAATTTACTCTTCTAAAGTAGAATGGAAGAAAAGAAATAATTTGCACCACGTTAAACAATAATTTTAAAACAGAATCATTTAAAATCTAAGAAAATAGTCAATGAAAAGTGGATATTCCAAGTATGAAACTTATAAATTTCTTAAATATAAACGTGTTTTTAAAAGTTTTTCTTCATAACGCAAACTTACACCCAAAAACAATGCGTTATTTTATATAATGGTCTTCGATTAATGGTTTATTCGCGAATAGGTTTTATCAGCTTGCAAAAATTTAAACCTCCCTCTTTACGAGATCTGCGACAATTAGCAATATTTTCGGCGTTATATTTCAAAGCGCCTCAAGCGTTATTGGATCTCAAGCGGTTTGAATCCGCAAAGAATCTCAATCGGAGTGAGTCACGCAAAGAAAACTCGATCAGTCTTCTTTCGTTATTGGGGTCGACGTAACGGTACCCCCTATGTAGAAGATGCGAATGCATCAGGGCTCGGCGCCCTCTTCCTGTGCCCCCTCATCATCGTCCCTGCCGATCTCTTCGTCTCCTACTTCCGCGCACTATGTCACACTGCTGTCCACCGTATACATTTGTCCCCGCGATATGCGAATCACAGCTTTCGTCACGACGCCCTGGCCGAAGGGATGATTAAATCGGGGGCGTGAATAAAGAGAAGAAGGACGTAAGGGATGAAAAGGGAAAAGGGGGGAGACGGGAAAGATAAAGAAACGATATACCGTTCCACGATTCGTAGATCACGACGAAGTCCGCATAGCGTGCGTTTTCAGCGAGCTTTCATCGGCAACGACTTCCTATGATAGAACGATGTTCGGGTGTGTATAAATCTTTCGTCCTGGCCGCGGCGCCGACGGATGCCGGGCTACTGCAGTCGGTGGAGCTTTCGGGCGAGCTTATTTTCTAGCGATACCAGCGCCAACGACGGTACCTCGTAGCATCGACCGCCACTACTATCGTCGACGACGACGAGGCCGACGACGGCGCGAAGCATCGCCGTCGTCCGGGGCTACCCCTGATCACCTTGCGTTCCCTCTTCTTCGAAGGCGCCCCTAGTGCTTTCTCCCATGATTACTCCCGCGGTACAATTTATTGTTGCTGCTGTCTTATCGCATGGCACGCTTTTTAACGATTTATATCTCTCTCACGAATACATGATATCAAAGCTTTCTTTCCCCATCGTCCTATTTTTTCTCTAATGAAATTTCATTTTTTTTTCTTTCGAAACTTTTTATAATATAATCTTTAATCACAAAGGAAAAGGTAGAATGTTAAAGTTGATGATCTGAAATATTATAAAGAGATTTGGAGCTTTTTTTCTAGAGAAGTATATAAATTTTTCAAATGTGTAATGTACTATATAATTTATATTTATCATTAAAAATAGCATGGCATTTAACAGAATGGAATTTTAAAAATTATATGTTCGTTTTTAAAGATTAAATTTTTTAATGGGAAAGACATGCAAGGAAAAAACATTTTATTAATACATTTTATTAATGCATTTTTGTTATTGTGTATAATTTTCCTAATACAAAAATATATTTACACAATTAAAGATAAAAGTACTAATTTTTGTAAAAACGCACAATTTCATATATTTCCATTATAAATTGTGTAATTTTTACACATATTATTTATGTAATTTTATATACTTTTTTTTTACAGTGTATAGCGTTAAAATTATCTGAATGATTTTTGTTTCTAATATTGCTGTTTCCTATACTTTTTACCCTATTTCTTATTATTTATTCAATGCAATACAGCACTCTCGAGAGACTGTTCTACCATCGATCCAAGGGATTGGTCGAGAAATAAGAATAATGCGTTGTAATTAAGTCGGAGCTGAACGCGGTGGAATTATGGATTTCGTCTTGTATGTAAAAAGAAATAACAGGGATTTTTATTACCCTTGTTCCAGCGTACGACCATTGTGTATTTTAATCTCGGATTCTTAGGTCCATATTTATAGCCGTCATTTAAAATCTCGTCTTAAGGGAATATCAAGTGGAATGCTTAGAATGGAGACATTTTGAGATGCGAATGGTTCGATATAGCGACCTTTCGATTAGAGAATAACTGTGACTACTCGGCTAAGAAGCTTATTCGATTATTCATTTAAGATTTAACTTGACATTCAGATATTGATTAAAGCAGACTTATGTGCTTTTTCTTTAAATCGATATCAAGATTTATTTATGAACTGATATTCTTACTGAGAAATAGATTTATATTAAAAAAATTTATATTAAAAAAAAGTTTTAGAGTTGAAGAAAATAAAAGACAAAGAAAGCAATATCTTATTTATATATCAGATAGTCAGATACATTTTTCTTTTATTTGATGACAAAGTGCTGATATCCTTTCCTTTAAGAAGGAAAACCAATAAGTGCTTCGGTCTAGTTTGGAACAGTGGCAAAGTCAACGAAACGAAGTTAAGTCCTTTGCTAAGGTTTGCTTCAGTTACAAGATGCAGAAATTTTAAGAGATTTGGTGCTTTCAATCTATTATCGATGCTTTCAGTGACACAAACTTATTTCAAGTACCTGTTAATAAATAATATATCTTCAATAAATAATATATCATCTCCTAGGTGCTATTTTCCCAGATGGTTCGGAGAATTATTATTATCACGAATGACGTAACGAACGATTTCAGACGATCAGTCTCAATATTAATTTCCGTCTGACGACGAAGAAAGCGTCAGTTACCGAGTACCGAGTAATGTAACTTCCGCATCAGTCGCATCGTTAAAATTGTGTAAATGCTTTTAAGAAGGATGTCAACTGATTCGCAGCGGTTTCCATTAAGACGGTGAATGCAGTTTATTGTACGCTCTTCGATACTTCGCGTCGCAAATGTCGCAATGGCTGCGAAATGTAGAGCACGGTTTGCATTTTGTGATTATCAAATTCACTCATATTCAAATTTAGTTAGAGAAATTAAAAGCATTTACACAATTTTGCTTTCAATTCGTAAAGAAAAGCGAGATGTCAGCGCAAAGAAAAGAAGATGTGATAACTTGAAGATGTTCTACAGAAAAATTGTCAAAAATCAATATCTATTTATTTTCAATTAAGTTTGTTAATTGTTCGAAAATATTAATTATAATATTAATGAATCCTATTTCGTGATATTAAATATGGAGTCGTTAACAATTCTACCTATTCTACAAATTTTAAATGCTATTTGAATAGATTCGAAGACTATTTTATAAACCTTTTGTATCTATTTAACACTTTTTTTCTTAGATAAACATCGAGAACATCGTCGACTATATTAAGATATATAATTGAAAAATGACAACAAAATGAAAGTAGAAATCATAAATTAATTAATTAAAAAGAGAATGTTACGTTTCCATGAATGCGTAATAACGTGAAAATGTTAGAATTTTTAATTGTTTTTAATAAAGTTTTAATAAACGCAGCATTTAAAAAAATTACTCTTTGTTTATGACTTTTTCTGTGAATTATCGTGTAGAAATAGTAGAGCCGCCATTGTACTATCCTCTTTATCGGCATGGTACTAGGTGCCACACTGGCATAGTGAGGCAGATTGACCTTAATGATGCAGCCGGGGATAGTTCCAGTCTGATTCGTCCCTCTCGTTGGCGGTCCTGCGGAAAATTTGGCCAACAGCCAGTAAACTGAAATGCAGGCCAACTCCCTCGATTGCTTGTTTTTGTGTCATATCGAATGTAAATGATGCTGCCAAGTCATTTGCTAATTGTCAGATTTGTACGAATCAATACTACTTAAATTTTTTGTTTTGGCAGAAACAAACTAAAGTAACCTTTATACCAATAAGTGTATATATTGGAGTCGACATTGAATAGACGAGATCATGATCGTAGAAGTGATTATAGAATAAGTTAATAAATTTGCTAATTGTCAGATTTGTACGAATCGATACTACTTAAATTTTTTGTTTTGGCAGAAACAAACTAAAGTAACCTTTATACCAATAAGTGTATATATTAGAGTCGACATTGAATAGACGAGGTCATGATCATAGAAGTGATTATAGAATAAAGTTAATAAATTTGTAATATAGTAAACAAATTAGATTAAAAAATTGATTGATTTCCGTTAGATTAAAAATTGTATATACGTGTATATTATTATATTATACATTTATAATTTGGTTTTTTAAACTAATGAGCGGAGCAACAAATATAATCATAATGTTTTATTATCAAATTTGATTTGTTTAGAGAGAAATCACGCTGGGCTAATATCTGATCTGATAACCAGGAATTACACGATAAACCCATTTTACAACAACAATATGACAAAACGATAAATCTCGTAAACCTTGCGTTAAAAGATTTTAATATCAGTATATATTATATAAATATCCACATTTTATCAAACAATCCTATTAAGATAGTAAACTGACATAATTTATCATATTAATACTAAAAATTGACGATAAATACCGTTACATTGCTATTTGATATGACACTCCTATAGTTGAATATTATCACAAACCGAAAGAATAAAAGAAATTTTTCAAGTTAATAATGAACAAACGAAAATGTTTGTCTGAGCATTCATGTACGAGCGTATATCTTCGCGCTATATTTTTTTTCATAGAATATATAGAGAGTTCGAAATACGGAAGAGCCAAAGGGATGGATTATTGGAGATATCGGACGCCGCGTTTCTATTTGTGATCATGAATGCGCGCACGAGTGGGTGCAAATATATCTCTCGGACGAGCCGGTGATGTATCTATGCGATATAACTTAACAACCTTTTCAATTCCGACTAAATTAACGCGCTCGAAATTAACTGCACGTGTCAATGATCCACGTGTCAATTGTCGTCATTTCAATCTGGAATATTGACACTCAAGAGAATTTCGAGGCAATTGAAGAAGACAGCTGATAATCTAAGATTGGGACAGTAATTGGGACATTCTCAGAATTCCTGCGTGCGTATATACGTGTATGTGTGTAATCAGTTCCTGCAAACCCTCTAATTCGATTAGCGAGTCAGTGATGTAAGTCAAGCGCTAAGAAATAGAATCGATCGATCTTCTAACTCTTTATGTCCCAAGTCGCTCTTCGTGACGTCAAAGGGAAGAGGAACGTCATTTCTTTCGCGAAGATTCGTCGTCGAAACGACTAGAAGTGATGTTGAGACAATACAGGAAAGCGCGCGAGTGGGCCGACCGAGGGAGTTCGGGTGTTCAGCGTGGGTTGATTCGCAATACAAATTTCACTAGGATATCAGATAATTTTCTGATTCTTATTCAAGGTAAATCCTTTTACTGCCACAATTGCCGTGATGAGACTCCCGCCGATCAACGCGTGGGTGGTTCACCGGCACAGAGAAGCGTGGATGTGCGTGCCCGCCGCGGTTCGCTCGCTGTGACAAAACGATAGTGTTGGTAGCAACCCGATGTATTGATTTTGTGGTACAATACGGTAACTGCGAGGTGGAGCCGTTGCAGCTCCAGTGCGACTGTCGTACCGCCATATTTGTTTCCCCTCAGCAGATCAGACGAGACTGCGGAAAGCGGATTTTCTGCGGTTTACACCGGAACGGCAATTCATCCCACCATTGCGTAAGTACAGATTGAAGATCTGGACGCAACCCCGCGTTGTTCCGCGCACGTTCTCCAATTGTTTTCACCCCGCGAGGAGCGCGGACTCTGAGCGCGTAGCATCCCCTCGGCGAGCAGGTGGCGAACGACGAAACCCGCGTAAACAACGCGTGGCAAGTGACTTGACAGGTGATTGTCTCACAGCGAAACTACTCCTGCAACTTCCTGCAAGGTGCGTCTAAACTTCACACGTACTTGCACGTGTCTTTTGCCATTTGATCGGCCATCGCGTATCGCGTGAATCCGTGACGCTATTACCGGCTGATCAATGAGGGAAGCAAAAAAGCAACGAACTTTCGTTTTATATCTTCAATAATTTTGGAAGATTGTTAATGATGATCTGAATCATTGTGGAGTTTTATGAGTCATTATAATCTCATCATAATAATTTCGATGAGGGTAGTTCGAAATACATGGATTTTCAGTGACGTATCTTTAGTGATTCACGCGTTCTGTCAAACAAGAAATGACGCAACGCGCGTGGGAAGAAGCTATTATTAAGTTTTCCCATAAATGTTTCTCTAAATGTATCTTTCCGCACAAGATTAAAATAGTATCAAATGATTATTGCAATTGCGAAGTAGACTGCTCCATTTAATCTGTTCGCGTAATTGTGTCTGTACTACAGCAAACGGAATCTTTTCTGTTTCCCATTAATTGAAATCTTCTTTCTTCTTATACGCCACAAGAAATTGTAAACTATAAATGAATGGAATTAAATAGAGAATGGTCAGGTTTAGCGTATTGTCAATCATAGCGCGATCGATCGTTCATTCTTGGTTACAACACGTGTCAATCACGCGTTCGTTTAAACATTTGATCAAACAAAAAATCAAATATGTACTTTTTTCTCAATATATCTACAATATTTTTTTAATGTATTTACAATTGTTATATTTATTTAAAAGAAGGAAGAAAACTTAAACAAACATACATGAGATCACTTTTCGATATTATCTTCAATATAAAATAATTTTATCGCAACGCGCGCGCGCGTTTATATATTTATATTATTGTCTTATTACTGCTTTATTTTATTGCGTGACAAAATACGTGCGATAAGTCATATATATTATGTTGCGGCATTAGCTGTGAGTATTATAGATCGGTATCTATAGCCTTTATAACTAGATGTAAAACATGTTCTGTAACATCGGTATAGATGGAATATTATCGAGTGATAAAAGTGACACGTTTATACTGGTCCACCGATAGATTGAGAATACATACGGAAATATATCCGCGTTGCGAAAGGTCTTTGCGCTGAATAATTTAAATTCAGGTGATCGATTCGCAGGTGAGCCGCAGAAACGCGACAAACTCTATTCCAGTCGACCTCATTTAATATTCGATCGAGCCGCACAATTATATCGCATAATATTGTCAATATTGACGCGTATTTTCTCTAATGTTACATATCTGGAATTATTTATTTATCAATTTGTAAGTTTCTATAAAAAGAAAGTTATAACAGAGAACTGCTATTTTATGAATGCAGTCTAATATTCTTTTATTTAAATACTTTCTTATTATTAGCTTTAATCTCTGAAAAATTTCAGCTGCCTCTGTTCTTCTTTATCAAGACATATATCTTCAATTTAATTATGATACAAGAATCATTTTGTAGATTCCATCTTGCTTTATGAAAAATATAAAAATATAAAAATATAAGGAAATTATCCTAGAAATCGCTCGTGTTTTCCCGTGCCAATCGATATAAAGAATTGATGTTGACACGATTCAAGTTGCGTGATTCTGTGTGAATGATACGAGAGACCAAAGCGTGTATATTATACATTAGTGGAAAACCGTATAAAACGGAGGCGCCACACCGTCCGTTTTTGTTGCACTCTTTCGTTCGCATTTTGTCAGCATTTTCTCTCTTCTCTCATTCTCGCCTTTTTCCATAGTTAAACTGTCACATGTTGCGAAGGTCGTTAACAAAACTGTGTCACAGTATCGGATCAGATCCATTTTATGTAACGAAAAGAAAAAAAGAATTGAGATTTTTACAATTAGAAAAGATTCTGTATAAAAATTCCGCTGACAAATTAATAGTAACATTACATCATTTTTTTACTCAACAATGTAACTGTTATGTACATGTATTATATTTACAATATTATATTGTTGATAAAATTATAATATTGATGTAATGTTACTATTTGTATTTATCGGGATAGTGTTTAAGAATTAAGATGATTGAAAGATTAAACGAGTCTTGCTTATGAAATTTTTGTAAAGTAAATTTTGTAGATTTAGAAAGGGAATTACATATTGTACATTTACGTTTACGGGAGATAAAATATTTTATGTATTTTTGGAGAAAACATATATGCTTCGATATTAGAAGGGACACATAAAACTTTACGACTGACATGCCAGTTATCTTTTAGAATGGTTACTGGAATTTGTCTTCAGCATTGATCTACAAGACGTAAAACATCAATATAAATAACGATCATGTATTAGTTTCTGTTTCTGTTTTTTCAATCGGAAAAGAGAACATAAAGTCAAAATTAAACCGCGCTATAGGTATTGTCGATCATTTTAATGGAAACATATGGTTGTCGACCTAGTTTTGTCGTTACACCTAGACCTCTTAGGAATTTCTTGCATAGGCCTATCATCCACAACCAGTAGCGTAATAAGAGGAGAGACGAAGAGGATAATCGGCTCTGAACGCCGTTTTGGCATGGACGCGAATTTATTAGTACACATATTATTTCCTCGTTACAAGCAGAAATGAAAGACTTATTTGTAACGGAATACAAAAAGCCATAAATATTATCTCAGTTGCTCGAGTGAAAGACAAAACAGGAGCAATTAAAGCGATGGAATTGTTAGCTTCTTTTGCTCCAGTACGGATAAATTTCTGTTTGTAACGCGAGAAATTTTGTTTTTGTAAAAGGAAAATATACATGGATGGATACTAAGTATTAAAAAAAATTTTAAGAGATTATTCCTCACACAAATTCAAGACAATTTTATTATACGACAATGTGCTCGAAACGATTTAATTTCAAAGATACAAGGTGTTAAAGTTGAAAGAAAAATTTTGTTTTTTTCCAAAAATTTTAAAAACCAATTTCGGGTTATTTTAATGGAACTTTTTGTATGTTTCAAAATAATCTGAAATTGGTTTCCACAATAAAAAAAATGAAATTTTTTCTTTAACTTAGATACTTTATATCTTTAAAATTAAGTTGGTTCGAACATATGACCATGTGAAGTTTTTGTCTGTTTTGAAATTTGTGTGAAGAATAACTTATTAACATTTTTTTAGAGTACTTAGTATTTATCCCGTATAATGCATTTTTAACATTCGTTGCTTAATCTATGGGATTAGACGATTTTTTTCATCTAATGCTGTAATAATTTTCGGCAAAGTAAAAAGACTGTTTTCTCTCCTTATTATTAATGTGGTCTTTCCTTTTTTGCGCGATTCAATTGTCAATTAAAAAATTGACTTATTTAAAATTTTTAATTTATTTAAAATTTAGAGTTTGCTGTCTATTTTTTATATATTAATATTGCAAGTATTTTTTATATGTCAATATTGCAAGTATGTTATATGTGAAAGAAAAAGGATAAAATGCAAACAAAGATACTGCTTAACAAATTGAAGCTATCTGTTAATTAGTCTATCAGTGATTGACGTTAATAGTGTAGTAAAGAAGTGAAAGGTATGGGCGTTGTTTTCTCTTACTACACCACTGTCTGCAACACATATATACATGTAATCCACATTAGATGAATGTAGTTGAAAATTATTCCGCTTCGTACTTGGGACACTTTGCTTTAACCTACTTTATTCTCAGCAGCGATTTTATTATGGCTCTTTATAGCATGCTTGAATATTTTTAAAGTTTTCTTAGAAAACCTTTATTTAACTCGCATCATTACCAGTTCATCAGGTTTTAACATTAAATAAAAAAAAAAAGTTTTCAAACGATGTAATAAAATTCTTAAGAACTCTTATACAAATCGTATTATATAAATCTTGAACCTTTTCAAAAATAGGAAAATATAAAAAAATGTCCTACTAAAAAAATTCTGACGTTCTCCAACGCGTATCGTCGTCTGGCGACTCGCGAAAAATTTCGAAAAATCACGACCAGCTGGTCCGAATTGATCGAAACCTGCCATCTCTGGAGATCACCCTGCATCATCCTCCCTTAGACGTCTTCGTAGTACGTGACGTCAATTGCGGTAACGCGGACGGTGCCGTTGCAGTCCGGCGATGCGCAGTCGCGCGGCACCGCGATCAATGTGCGTCTTCGCGCGAGGGTGCCGTCGGCGCATATTACACGAGGACCGGGACAGAACATGCGCGCGGGTAGACTCGTCCTGCGGTAAAAAGGAAAGAGACTTTCACGCGCGTGGAACCGATGATACAAATGCGGTTATATTTCTGCGTGGGGCGGGATTCGACGAATTCGCGATTTTGCGAAAAGTAACGTAAAGCTCGAGATAAAGGCTGAATCATCAACGCCGCATCGTGTTTGTGATGTGATATCGAAATGTTGCGACGAACGATCCTCGCGACACGCCACGAGATGTAGAAAGCTAGTGCAACAACATTGACCGCTTAATTTTTGGTGGTTGAAACGCGCTCGAAAGTCTGTTTAATAAAACTGTCTTTGTTAAAATAATTATCGTTTTCCCATTCAGCAACGAGTGTTATGGGACTTATCGATAAGAGTGCAATTTTGACTTACATAATAGCCAGTAACAATAATGATATGCAATTTGAAGGTTTTCATTCGGCATATCTTATTAAGATGTTGGAGAACTCAAGAGTGATCTTTTTTCTTTACAAATGCTGATAAGATTGTTGAAGAAAAATACGAACAACCTTCGATTGATTTATGAACTCTAAATAGTTGTTAAATCACCGTCGAGTCTTCTCCAATCTATTTTGAACATAAATAACGTGTGTTTATCTAGCATACATCAGTTACACCTTCGTCCATATAAGATGAACAGGTGCACGTAGATAATCGATTGGTGAGCGATTAATCCAATCGGAACAGAATGCCGAAGCCAGTTCCGGTGGAGAACCTGGTGATACCACCGCAGGATGGCCGCATCTGCGGCACGATCTGCATCTGTCAGATGACGATGGTGCTGTCCTCGGTCGCGTTGGTGTATCTGACGGTCGCGATCTACATGCCCAGTGGACGGGCGTTCCAATCGGGCATCAGCGAAGTGCCCGTGATGTGCACAACAATTCGAGCGGTGAACGCTGACAATTGCGAGTGGGGTAGTTGTGGCGAATGGTGTTTGTCCAAGACCTCCGGGCCCTGCGTGCAGATCCATGTGAATCTCCGCAGGAACGGATCCACGATTTTGTTAGCGAACTGTACGAACACGACGAATAAGACTTGCTACGGTATCGATCAGGAGAACGCGAAGAAATCAAAGTGCATCGCGGACGAGTGTCGCAATCTGACCGGGACATTCAACTGTTCCGCGGGCACCTGCATCAACATCACCGACGCCTTCGAGTGCATGTTCCACGACACGGATCCGCCCCTTAAGTGTTCAGGTCGTCGTGGCAAGATCACTTGTATCGACATAGACGGCCTATTTAATTGTAATCGCGGTACCTGCGAGCGTATACGCACCCCCTACAATTGCGATCGCAGGTGCGTCGATATCCCAACCAGGAATAAGAATATGATCCTTCTCAGCGGCGACAAGGTGTACTTGAGCCAGTGCGAACGAGCTATCGACGTGGCAACTAATCGCGAGATATGGCACGAAGATCGTGGCGACGTCATGATGGCCTCCTGCTATGGGATCTTTAATTCCACGTTGGGTGTGGAAGCGGTGGACTGCATCAACGGTTCCGTGCTGGAGAAAGATCTGCTAAGCGATCTAACGAACTTCACTTACTTGTCCTACTTAAATATATTCGCCACGAAACCCCTGGACAACGATAAGTCAGTCGCACCGCCGGAGCAGAGCCTGATCATCGCCAACGAGAGTAAATTGTTGATCAACCTCGAGGGATGTGTGAACACGCTTCGGGATGAGTGCAAAGAATTCCTTCACGAATACGGGAAGGATGGGTCCGATCATAACGCGCGTGCTAGATTCCCGTGTTACTACGCCGAGGATAACACGGGCGTTGTCGTGTCACGATTCGATCTACACACAACCTATAGAGAGTTCTTGATCGCGTTATTGCTGCCGAGTATTTTGTTTGTCGTCAGCTGTCTGACTCTGATCTTCTGTCAGAGAACAGTCGTCGTCGGGGACGACGCTAAAATGAGGTTCAAGGGCACGCCCGGCACGCTGGTCTCGATAGAGAGAAGCGCGTCGGGCAACTTAGGGGATGCTGGCGGAGGAGACTCCGTCATGGCGCTCTGAGATCCGTCACGTAAGACTTGTTTTCGGCAGAAAATAGTTGCGTTCTAAGGCATGGTGTTATATAATTAGTTGTATCGCCCCTAAATCAGCTCTTTCACATTACAAAAGGTGTTTCATTCGATTCCTCTTGTCTTGTAGTTTACAATATTTATTTATAAATTAATTTTATGTAACTTTCATCCGCGACTTGACAATATAATTGTCTAAAATTATACGTTCTTCTCTTTTCTCTTCTTTTTTCTCTCATTCGATAGAAATTAATCATTTCGCGCGATCGTATAGTAATAATAATTTTTATAATTATTTAATAACTATTATAACTTTTATAATAATTCTTGTCATTGTGCAAATTTCTTAGTTTATAAATCTAAACCATTTAAATGGCATGGCATGAAGATACTGTAATTTTAATAAAATCAGACCTAAAGTAATATATGTGAATTGAATTATTTTTCCAACGCTCATTACTCACTTAAAATATTTTGTTATTATCTTTTCATCAAGAAAAGGTAATACGAGCTTTGGATATGTGTAGAGTATATCAGTGTAAGAAATACATATTTTCTGAATGTTAAAGGGATTAAAACGCATTTAACATTCAAGATATTTAATTTTATATGAATGTATCATCTATCATCTATCATAATAAAAATATATATTTTTTGAGTTTCAATTAAATTTTCATTTGTAATAAGTTAATAATCTTTAAAGAGAAACATCAGCGATTTGTGTTCAATGTATATTATCGTGATATAAGAACAAAATTTAATCCTTTAGCGATGGCATCATTTTATCATTTAAAAAAGTTTTTTTGATTAATTTTTCTCAAAAATCTTGTAAGTGAAAAGCCTATTGATATCTCGATTTATTGATTTATCGATGTACAGTTTTTTTGGCAATAAGAAATAAGCATTATATTTTCAATGTTCAATGCAGCACACACTTTTTTGCATCCTCAATTCTTAAATGCAATTAAACAACATAGATGCTGAATTTTCCGATACATTCATACATTTCTAGACGTAAATCTATGTTTGTGAATGTTGTAAATATGCTACACTCGCCGTTAAAGGATTGATCTTTTCAGGAATACACTGTCGCATTAAAAATGTATTTGTTTCAATGTGTTACTATAGAGATACAGGGTAATATTATTTCTTTATTTTGCGCAATCCGCAGATTAAAAACTCAGTGAACGTTTATTACGATTAATTGAGAATGCCAAATAAAAAACAATTGTTTTATTTGACCATTTTAGAAGAATATTTAAGTAACTTTAAACAAATATATCATTCAATTAAATCTGTATTAGAATAAATATGACTGTTATTTATTTTGAACTATTCTACGAAGTCCAAAGCTCATTAAATTCGAAAAGAGAAATCCGCGAGCTGTTTACTGATAGACAATCACTTTATTAATGTTGCAATATAGATTTTAATGTTGTGTTAACAGGCATTCCCCTCCTGGAGGAGAGTCCGGCTCGTCAGTCGATATTCTCCCTGCGCGGGCATTACTGAGGTGTGGGGAGGGGGGGAACGCGTGATAAAAAATTCTCATCTTGCAATTTAATAAAACAAAAAACGCAACACGTACACATTCCTGCAAAAGTACCAAGAAAACGAAGCGAAAAAGAGTGATCAGACAACAAAGAGATCAGGAAGAATTTATCTACTCGCACTGCCTGCACTAAATATTTGAAAGACCGCACGCATGCTTATGTGACACGAACAGATGTTGTCACGATATCGAACGTATAATTCCGCACGATTCTCTCGTTCAGAAAAGAAATAACGGTTCAAGAAAGAAGATTTACTCGATTTTGGCGTTTTTCACACGTGACATTCGTAGCTTTTAAGAGGTTCCCCTTTTCTGATTGATTTGCCGCGACCAATAGTTCAAGTTTAACAGTCAAGAGGCGCGCCTTGCTGATGGATGATCGACACGAGACGAGCTCTCGATAGCCTTGCTTATCTTAACTACAACTCATCATAATCACCACAAGTGCGAACGACAACGTGAGCAATCTAGCAATATCGACGAAAGTCGGCCTACTCAAGCTCGAAGATCTTTACCCCAAGAAGCTTCATATTCCAAAGTTTTTTATATTCATAAGTTCTATTTACATCTAAAAAGTTGAACAATTGTTATTTGCTTTATCATCTTATATCTTGTCCAATTTTACAAGTTTCTAGATTAATTCTTAAATAAATCAAATTATATTTTCATCAAGATTAATTAGTCTGCGTAATCTTTCACTCCTCATTCGAGGAAAATTATTTCCTCTCCCGCTGCAGCCATCGGATAAGAAGGAGTCACAGTGTGAATCGAGGTGTCGTAAGTGGACCACAAGCACGTCTATTCAAGGACGTGCTCTGAATCGGCCACGCAAATCGTGGCTGTACGCATCTTTCGAGAAACTTTTAAGTAAATTACGAGTAGGGTCACCGTGACCCACAAAAAGCCGCAATCATTGATTCCGACGAATCGACGGTGATAATGGGCGTCCAGGTGGAGGAGTCCAAGATCGGCGCCATGATCGACAAGGCCAAGTTTTATACTTCGGTCTGCCTAGGCACTACAGCGATTCTTGCGGTTTTCGCCTTCCTGTTTCTGATCCCGTTCGTCGTCGAGCCGGCGATAACCACCATTCTGGCGGATTTCTCGCCGCATGCTGTTGCTTGCGTCACGACGGAGCACGTGTACGCGGAGGGGTTGAAGAACTGTTCGTGGGCGAGCTGCAGAGAAGGTGAATCCTCGATCCCTTTCGTATTCGCGTTTAACAAATGTCCGAATGTAATTGATCATACAATTATTGTTGTCTAGGTTGTACGAGCGCTGCGCTTCGTTGTCATCAAATCAAAGTCAATTACACCAGACTCCCATACGAGGAATTTACGGCGAAGCCATTGGGTTCAGTACCATGGGACGTCACCGATACCAAATTCTTTGTGAACACAGAAGGATGCGGCTATCCGCCCACAGTCAACTGTACTATTTTTGCCAAGAAATATACCTATGAAAATATGGGAAAGATATTTCCCTGTTATTACAGTAGAACACATCCAGAGATAGTTGTCGCAAGGTATGATCAGTGAGATGATGTATGTATGAATTCAATCCTTAATGCAAAACATAGTGCGCTATCCTGTTTCTCTCGCATAAAAAGAGGTCCATTCACGATTAATCAAGTTGCTTGAAAAGTTATGCAACATATAATGACTGCGTTCCATAAAGCGCACTCTTTAAGCTCTTTGAAGTAAAATCTCACTCTAAAGAGTAAAAAATTGAACCAGTTTTGGAAAAGAATAACTCCATTTTCAATCTTTAAGAGTGGAATTTCACTCTTCAAAATGAGGTTCACTCTAAAAATTTTAGAAAGCTTGATGTACATGTGTATTATTTTATCTTTGTTTAATATTTAAGGAATGATAAGGATAATATGATACATCATGTGCATCATGCGCTTTACGAAACGTAAATACGCATTTATTAACGTATTTACAACTTTTTTGACAAAAACCCTTTTTAACATTTTCATTTATGCCATTACTCACGAAGTAAATAGGTCAAAAATATCAGGCAGATTTTCATTTTACATAATAGTAAATCGTCAATCAGCCTCATTCACAATCAATCACGTTGCACAACAGGCAATGTTGCTCAACATGATTGATCGTGAGTTCCTTTAAACATACAATCACGAAACTAATTATTGATGCACCATTATATCGATTTCTTCAAACTTACTAGGATATTAAAAATTATTATTTCATGCACTCGTTGCGATACTAGTAGTTACACAATTAATTGTGTAAATATAAATATAAACAATGTCGTAATGCCACAATTTTTAATCAGGATAAAAATTTGAAGAATTCATTGATATAATGGCACACTATCAGAATAATTATAGTTTTATGACCGTGTTTTTATTTAAAAAACCATACATCGGTTTGCACAATCGTCTATTTCTTAGTAAAGAGCATAGCCTCACTATGTTTGCAGATATTCATGGGATGAAAATCTGAGGCATTTGGTATTGGCCTTAATCGTGCCCATAGTACTGTTCGCTACGACGCTCGGTGTGCTGTGCTATTGGTATTGTCCGCCGATCAACAAGACTTGCGGCGGATCGAGTCGCAATCTCATGGACAAGTATGCTAGAAAGGAAGAGTAAGTGTATGTATGCAGTGCCCGGTATGGGCTAGCAGAAATTTTATTCTACGGAATTACTTTGAAGTCACCATACGATCGCTACGATTGTCAATGTCGAGAAAAATACTCGGCGATTGAGTATTGCTTAAATGAAAGATCAAATGATGAATTCGTAATTTTTTAAAAATTATGTCATCATATTTTTCTTTCATTTTTAGCTTTTAGATATTATATAATTTGCAGAATTTCAATTGTCAAAGTAATTCCTCCATTCATCTTGCAATTTTCTCTCTCTCTCTCTCTCATATTACTTATTCTCCTTTTCATGTCTGTAATTCAGTGACTTTTTTTATTCTTACAGCATCTTGGCAGAGGACGAATTCGAGGAAGACGAAGAGGAATACTGACTGCTACCAAGGGCTCACCCCCCGGCACGGGAGTGATCCCAGCGAAATCATCTTCGAAATGGTTCCAGCGTACTTTACTTTCTAAATTTAAGCGATCGAGCAATATCATTTAGGAAAAATTTGCAAAAAGCGGGGAAACGGATCTCGTTGTGATTGATTTTTATCGAGTTTACTCAGAAAAAGTCTTAGAGTAATGCTTAAACGCTACATCCGATTTTTTAATCCTCTTAATCTGATTCGTGCTTTCAATAAATGAAACATATTCCTAGGTTTATATCCCATAAAAATATTTCTCTTTTTCTCTCTTCTTCTCGATATTTCAATCGCACTGAGATTAATTATATACGCACATATTCGAAAGAAATGTAATATCAAATTTATTTGACGGATCAACGATTAGAAGAATTGTTTGTCCGAAGCATTAATTTATATTTTAAATTTACGACGTAAAGTGAGTCATGAATATGAGAACTCGGATTTTTCAATTATCTATCAGTATTCCATGCGAGTTTCGAGAAGATATGGTTCGAAACATGCGGCAATATCGGAAAATAATATTATGCATTAACGAAATCGCATTAATAATATAAATTAATTTAATTAATAATACATTGGATGCTATACATTGACACTCGCTAAATTGTTCATTAGTATAGTTGTGCATTTTAAAATCTTGTAGATATTAATTACGAAAATAATTTCAAATGAAGTAGTTACGAAATGATGACGATAAATTTCCGTGTGTTTCGAGCTCAATCGTGATAAAGGCGCGCCTTCCTACTTACGTGATAAAAGTTTAAGCAGTATAATAGTTTTTAAATGGCACAGATTAGGTTTTGCAGCGGGTTTAGACGAAGCTATGTAGTCGTGAATTTACGACTGAAGTCACATAAGCTGCCCTTGTGACGATAAGTCGATAGTCAAGTACCGATGAAAGCAGTACGAACCCATGGTTCGATGCTAAGCGCAATATATATCTTCATTCTTCGTCGAACAGAAGAAATAAATTTCAACGCGGACTCCTATCAGGCTAATCGCGTTACTCGCTACACTAAATTACGTGGTCTTTTGAAACTGTTAATGTTTTAATCATTTTTCATGCCTGATCCTATTGTGATTATTTTTTTAAATGTAGGTAGATCGAGTAATGGCTGCTTTTGTATATTTTTACATTCTTTCTGATACAGCGCTATATAAGAGGAGAAAAGATTGTTATCTTTTAAAGATAAAATAAGAGCAAAATAAAATAATTAATTTTAAAATTTTAATTAAAAATAATTTTAAAATTAAAAATAAGATTACGTATTTTTTAAAGAAATTTTATCGGAAAAGCGATCCATGAGTATTATTATTGCAGATATTGAAAAGAGTACAAAGGTGATGTATTGAGTGGAAAATGTGAAAGTGCTTTATGAAAAAAAAAGAAGTGAAGCAAGTGACGCGGTTTGCTTTTAAAATCCGCTTCCGCACCAAGTAACTTAGGTTAAGATTAGGCTGTAAGTTAAGCCTGTGAATATTACCGATAATCGTAATTCTATTCGAAATCGATATAAGAGTTGTTACGAATTTTGTACGCGAACGCAAGTCACGTCGCGGATTCTATAGACAAAGAGAAAATATATTATATAAATATACGAATATATTAAAACGCATAAAACGCACGTGAACGCTGGTACGCATTGTGCGCATAGTTTATAGGCATAGATATAATGATATACTTTTAAGTTGAATTTTTTGCAGGGACATGCGAACTATATTCCGTAAGCTACGAAACGACATAGTTTACTATTGAATGCTCGCTCAACCATAGTATTTGTTCCGTCAAACGTAATTGTTAAGTTTTGCAAATAAATTAATACAGATAATAATTTATTAGTTAACTTTAATCGAGGATATCACTAAAATAAAACAGAAAAAGTATAAAACGATTTTCCAAAATATATTAAATAATTTGAATATTTGGAACAAATTAAGATGAATGAAGAAATGTGTTATACGTAATTGCAACATATTAATTAGTTTATATTTTTCATTTTGTCAGCCGATGATTAAGTTTTCCATTGTAGTTACTTGAAAAAGAAATGTACAAAACAATTTTCGAATGTATATTAAATATAATTTAAATATTCGAAATGAATTACGGTAAATGAAGAAATTAGAAGTGCTATTATAATATTAATTAACATAATTATTTATATTACTTAAAATAATTTTTATTTATTGGTGACCGAGCTTTGCATTTTTTAATTACTTGAAGAACGTCACATTTGACAAAATTAGTTAAAATAACGTTTGTTTCGAAGCATATGGAAATCATATCGTAACTCTCTACATCTAGTATGGTTGTGAATCCTTACTCGGCCTTACTTTAGGTGTCCAAAATGGAAGAACTCTCATGAGGTAGCAACTTCTCATGGACCCTATGTTTCGGCTCTCATTCCCCACTTGAAGCTTGCTAGTATAGTTTCCGTTACGATTGATCGCTCGATCGTCTCCGAATCACGAATCTATCTCGAATTTATCTCGTGATTAACTACACGATTTCGTCCGACTCGATTCTCTCTCGCTGCTATTTTTATCAGATAAATCGGATAAATTTTAAATGGCAATGCTAAATTTTAGTTACAGTAATTTACAGTAATACGGTATTTAAGAATAATCAAAATTAGAAATCGGATAAGTAATTAATTTGAAACACCATTAGAGCATCGAATTATAAATGGAGAAGTTCCTAACTTCTCTTGCATTCTTTATCGCGAGAACATTTGCTCAAGATGCGCTCACATTCGATGAAACCACGGCGCAAACTGAAATTTGCGTACGCTTTCTTAAGCAAAAATTGCATCTAGTTCGTCATTAAGCCATCGCGAAATTTTCATCTTCGGTTAGAATTAAAACTCTTGTGTGATATTAAAAGCTTTCAAGCGTAACACCAAGAAAGCTCTACGCGGACAATCTAGGAGCGGTGTAACTCGCGTATAGGCACAATTTTCGCATCATGTATCGGTTCTAGTGCCAATTAAATTCTCTAGCTCGATTAGCCGGTCGTAATCGTCGTAGGCAGCATACTTAGAGCATCGATCGCGAGAGAAGATATTTATATATATTAGAGACTAGGGATCTCAAGCGGATGACTTTTGTTAAGTTGTAGGAAATGTGATTTTCAAATACGATGGAGAACGCCATCATCACGGTCAAAGTTAGATGTTTCGAATAATACAATATATATTCTCTATTAAATAAATTTATTTTAGTCATGGTGCGCTGATAACTTTTGGACTTTCAACACTATCAGTCTGAAACGCTACTACTCCCCCCCCTAAATTCCCCATAAATTAAATTAGAAAAACTGTAAAGAACTTATGATAAATCTGATATTGTATTGTAAATGAACTATAAAATCTTTAGGATTTACTTAATCTTCCAATAGTCATGGTTTATTCGATTATTATAGATGATTTTTCAATCTAATTTCGTTTTATACAAAAATTATAAGAATTAAATATTGATAATAATGTTTAGTATAATATGAAAGAAGAAATTATAACCATATAAAAGTATTTCGTAAAGAACATAATATATTTAATCTTCTTGGATAGTTAATTAGAAAGTGCATTACTCAAGAAAAAATACAAGATACAAATATTCACTTGAGATTCCTCTTTAGATAGGTGAACAAATTTTAGTATAAATTCAAATAATTTATACGCAAGGGTGATGTAGAGTAAATAACTTTAAGCAATTTTAACTGACAATGAGTAACCTAATGATACACGAATAAACGATGTAATGCGAATTCTATTTCCACACGATTTAGCTATCATGTTCGATCGAAAAATCGACAGTGCTATTTGTCTTTAACAAACGAACATTATTCGATAGTTATCTTCACATGTTGTATGCCCTCGTAATGTTACTTGGCTACTTAATAATATTCGCACTTACTATAGCCGGATATTTATCATGCTATATGATTTCTTTTTCTCTTTTTCTCGCCTCTTATATATATATATAAAAAAGTCTATAATATAAATGAGGAAACACTCTTCGAGACGCTTCCTTTCTCTCTACTCGAAAGTTTTCAACTCGTTTATCGCTTCTTACATAAATCATAAATTGTACATAATATATAAACGGTGTGTATATACAGTATACATATAAATTACATACTCACTCTGCGATATAAACGGACTATTGTATATAAGAGATTGTACGAGTTCGTTTAAAATATATAAAAAGACGTTTTCTGTTAATTCCCGATATATTATTTTTCCCAGTTTCATATTTCCGACACATTTCTTTAAATACCTTGAGTAAATTTTTATTTCAGATAAATGAATTAATAAAAATAATTTATGTAAAATAAATTCAATAAATTTAAAAAATAAGTTTTATATTTAACAATTCATAGCTGTTCCATCATTTTCTTGATATTTTTAGAAAACTGAAGCCTTAGAAAACGAAAATTTATGATCCATAATATTTTTTTATTTATCATTGATGGACAATAAAATTCAGGCGCGTTGCATCTATCGAACTTCAACTGCAGTATTACATAAAAAATCTATCTTCACATATATTATGCGAAGATTACATAGCATTAAACGAAGACGTTTGACCTTTTGCTTCGAAGGTCGTAGAAATGTTAATCCAGCGCAACTAACATTCCGCCCTTCTAATATCGAGGGGATGAATCTAAATCGATAAAATAGATGTCAACTGACTACGCGTTTCACGAAACATTTCTACTTATAATTTATAATGTATAATGAAAGAATAATTTTACATTTTGTAATACAAAATTACTTACATATTTTATTTGTTAAGTTTTTCATATAATTGCGATTATAAAGTAAAGATAACGAATTTTTTATTTAACGAACACTATAATCGACATTATTTTAATCTGTGCAAGTCAAATAAATATAAATAATTAAAATTATATGATAATTATTAATTCATCGGGTTAATAAAACAAAAATAAAAAATATAGATTATTTTTTCTGATTTTAAAATCAGCAACTTATATAACTTCCAAAAAATGCAAGTAAGTTATAAATGCCGAATGTTATTCACAAATCTGTGCATCTAAAAATACACTAAATTACTTTAAAAAGATAATTGTTGACAAAAATCAATTATTCTTCAATATTTAATAAACAGCAACAATTTATAAATCCGAAAAAGAGATTATCAATCTTTTTTTTTGTGACATAAATAGTATATATTTCGACATTTCAGAAATTTTACGATTCACCCTCGCAATCAAGGATAAGTTTATGAACTGAGGGTTGCTTCACTCTGGTATTTCATGGATAAAAGAAAACTCCACCCCCATAAAAACGTGATATACCACGGCGCAAGCTCCGTGCGAGAGAACTCGCGAGTCGCACGACTAGACTGGCAGACTTGTTTTCAAACAGTCGGAGTTAGTCGGTTGCATGGCTATCTCTCGCGTGTTCGCGAATGTTTGCGAATCTCTTCTTCGAGATGAAAAGATTGTGTCGATATAATGATAATTTTGCAAATTGCGGACGAAAATGATCGTGGGATCATTGTCCAACATTGATGATTTAACGAAGGACGCGTGTCGATCGCGTAGTGCGAAATTAATTCTCGTGATTAAATAACACGATTTTTTAAATGTAATTAAATGTCATTTGTGCAAATATAATTAATAATAAAGTGCAATTTTAAAGTGAAATATGAAACGGGAACAATAAAGACAATGAAAGTGATTGCATCGATAGTGAATCGCAAGAAAAATGTAAAGAAGTTGCGGCTCTTTCAATTATGTATATGATACGAAAAATTGATGTCAAAACGTTGAAATGCAAGAAAATTTTTAGAAAACTTTACGAAGACATGCTATTGTAACGAATACAATTGTTATATTATGAGGATTTCAGAATTCGCAAAATATACGTCGTCGAACTTCTGTAATTATTTTCTTCTTGAAGAAAGCACAGTTATTTACATTAGCTGTGCTTTAAATTCAGTGATTAAGCGAAAAAATTCACCTAAAAGAGTACTTGATGCTCATGAAAAGTTGAGACGCGCAATCGGCTTAAAAGTAAAGCGGCTTCGATTTTATCGGAGATTCGAACGAGTAGTAAATCTCACTTTAGTCAGACGACGAATATCGAGAATGTAAAAAATATTCTGTAGTTGTAATTTTTTTTTAAGAGAATTTAGATTGATGATCCGTAATCTATAATACGAAGAGTCTAATCATCTTCTCTCGCTGTGTTATGTATTAGTTTAGATAAAGAAAAGGGTAAAAAATTTATTACAAATTTTATAGAAAACGGAAATGAAACATAATAAAATTATGCATGCAATTAAAAGATGATCAACAGAAGCAGATAATACATTTATGGCACTAACGTTTCAAGGATGAGAATCCCAAAGGTATTATAGGCAAGATAATCGCTTATTTCAAGGTTACTTGCAAGTGGAACAACCATTAGAAATTTCATCATGAGTGTCTCTCAGAAAAAAGTCTTTCTAACATCAACATCGATTCTAAACTTATAAAAAACGCAAGAGCGTACTATTTCCTATTTTCTATTTCAGTAATAATATTGACATTGCCTTTTAAATATCCAATAATAGAAAATTTTCTGTGGAAGAAACTTTTGCGTGACAAAAAGTTTGATTTAAACTTTATCGATGTGTTATTGTAAAACGGCCTTTTAAATTATATGCCTGCAAAGTTACGAAGGACGACAGGAACAAATTTTAACAACGTCATTTCCAACGGTAATGGTGACACAGAAATCTGGATCAATAACGCATTTTTTGAACAGTCATTTAAATGTTCGCTTGGTAGTGTCGCGTAATGAAATTACTAGCGTCTAATTCTATACTGTTCTAGCATCCGTTCGCAACTACGCGGCTAATGAAGTTAACACGTGGTAATTGCCCTAAGTGCATCGGACAGGTTGAATGCTTCTAGCAAAAGAACGGTAGAGAAAGGATCGCGCAAACAGGAGGAGACTTCTTTGTTATTACACATTATGCGATTCGTCGAACGTCCGATCACACAGATTAAATTTTGATCAAGAAATGGGGCAACCTTCGACGATTCAGCGGAATCAATTGTGTCTCACATGCCTAATGAGTCACTCGCGTGAGACACGCTTGAAGCTTACCACGAATCTTCTTTATCTGTTGAATTGTTAATGTTAATCGAAACTAATTAACTTCCAAGAAGCAAGGAAGAAAAGGAAAGAAAGGAAGAAGAAATTAGTTACTCATAGGAATCGAAGTAAGCCGGGTAATTTTGATGAACACTTTTTCGTTCACCAATTTTCATCGTTCGAGAAAATAAAAAAGATTCGAGAGCCAGGATCATCCGTATTTTTTGACGAAATGACATGACGTGCGTCACGACGCGTGTCGTGCCCATAAGAGAATGGTAGCTATAGCGAAATCGTCTAATCGATGGAAGTCGTGACACACTCATCTACATACACGCATTTGTCGACCGACTTTGCAAACTTCTACTTTTCAAACGAAAATAGTATGACTGAAACAAACAAAGATAATTTGCAACGAAATATTTCATCTGCGCACGTGTGCATCTCAACGGATAATATCACAAAAGAGTGAAAATGGAGCTGTTGCGAACTATCTATTCTTAGCGCGAAGCGAGTCTCTTGATCTCTTGATTTGTTTTTTTTTCCATGTGAGTGGCGATTAAACTTTTACGGAACCGTTCGCTCTGATGGGAAATATCGACATAAAGTCGCTATTTTTTGTGTCATATATTCCGAGAGGAAGTAAATATAATATGCACTATTTGATGTGAAAATGAATTATCAAACTCATACAGTATTAATTTTCGAGCCGTAACATCGATAAGAGAATAAAGGTCAAAGCTTTAACGAATGAAATAATTTTTCAACAAGTTTGTGCTGGAATTTAGTATCCAGGATCAGGCGTTTGTCCATAAATATACATTACATTTATAATCGGCGTGGAATTAAAATACGTGGAATTAAAATACGTGAGATTTAAATTGGAAAATTCAACAGAAGATTTTTAAAAATATATAGGTGTTGCAAAAGATTGCAAAATATTACGCGATGGGCCGGAAACAGAAACGCCGCCTGATACCGGAACAAGACCGTAGAATTTGCGGTAGCATTTGCTTCTTCCAGTTCACCTTCGTCATCAGTTGCGTAGCTTTGGTTTATCTCGGCGTAGCGATCTACGCGCCGTCGTACAGGTAAAAAAACGAGTTATTAAATCTGGAATTAAAAACTAATTTCCGGCATATCACTTCCTTATTCTTCAAAAGTGACACACTTTCAAATTATCATCATAAATAAATTAAATAAACATTATCTAATATTGAGGAAAAAATATAGTCAATTTTAATAAATATTGAGTTTAATACTGTCAACTAACCATTTACTTACAGTAAATAAATGTATGTGCAATAAAAAAATTAAATTAATTAAATTAAATTAATGGTTCTCATATCAAATAAATATATATTTATATTTAATAAATATTTAGTGTTGGCAATATTCAACTAAATATTTATTAAAGAGACTATACTTTTTCTCAGTGTATCAATCATCAACAGTGAACTAAGGTTGCTTTCCATTTAGAAGACGTAGTCGATACAAGTTCTATCTTTATTATTTATTGAAAGGATAGAACAACGTTTGCGTCTTTTAACAGGAAAGTAGCCTAACTTCATAAAAAATCATCAAAACTGTCACAATTAAAAAGGCTGATTTAAAAAAAAAAGTCAAAATTTCTATTTCCACTTAAAAAGGATGAATTTTTTAAGAATTGTGAAACAAAAATGACAAAAATAACACTTAATCATGTTAAAAATATATTCTTTTTCGATATTATTTGATTTGTCGATAATTTTTCTATTAAATTAAAAAATATGTTTCCTTTCTCTGGAAAACTTAATTTTTTTAATTGTGTTACTTTTGAAGTAAGAGAACGTTATATTTAATTGTTAGATATAGATATTAGTTTCTCTCTATTCAAAGGATTTATTCCTCCTTAAAATCTTCTCGCAGAAGACTGTGTTATATAACGTGTAGCATCATTAAGGAGAAATTACTGACGCTATTCAAGTCAGAAATATTATTCGAGACAAAGTTGAAGGGAGATGTTCGCTGTTTATTTCTGGGAAGTAATCTGAGAAGTGCGTTAACGACGCCAACGTAATTTCAGAGCTTTCCACATTGGCATTGAGCCGGAACCGGTGATGTGCCAAACTGTTAATGCCTCGATGGTGAATAATTGCGGCTGGGCTAGTTGCGGCGAATGGTGTTTGACGAAGTCGAGCGGCTTTTGTCCCCAGTTTCACGCAACCGTGAGACGTAATGGCACTGACGTGATTTTCGAAAATTGCACCAAGTTCAATACAATCGCGTGCCCTCAGGTGCGTAGAACGTAACAATACTATGCTATTCAATAGTTTTGCTTTTTTGCATTGCGCTTGAAAATTTAATGTTGTTATAGTTTAAATGTTACTCAAACATGAACTATGAAAAGCTCTCGATAAATTATATTATATTGTTCACAGATGTGTAACAGTTGTAATAAGTACTATATATGAATTATGGATAAAATTATGAAATTTTTAAACTATTAATAATTTGACTTTAATCTTTAGAAAACGGATGGATGTATTTTTCAAATTTTATTCTTAGTAAAATTTATTATAATTTATTATATTTATATAATTTATTTATTTCTCGCCTAAAACTCATTGCTTCAGAACTATTATAATAGTTAATTCTTCTGAAGCTTTCAGTATTTTCTTCAAAGATAGAAGGTTTGCGAGTTATCGTCGTGTCTTAATCCGTTGCTAATGCCAATTTCGTGAACTTTGCTGTTCCTTTCATCAGGACGAGGAACGCGGACTGATACTAATATAGTGATTTCCGTTGGCATGATAATGTCAATATTATTAGGTGTTGGAATTAATTCGTAGTGTTTTACAAGTGATGGGAAGTACTTTCATTAATGTATTTTTTAATGCTCATGTGAAATAAATAACATTCTTTCATTAAAAAACGCTACGAATTAATTCCAACACCTAATAAAAAATAGACAAATCTAAAAATTTATTACTAGGAATTTTTGAGTTCGCTGAATTTAAATTTGATATCAGAAATTCAAATTCAAAATGGTAGATCTCATATGGTGGCTTAGTAATCGAAAAAATAAATTTTCGAAAAACTAATTGTAAGATTCAAACGAATGATAATCTTAATTCCCTGATATAAAAAATATAATTATAATAAGTTTGGCTCTTGGAAATTAGCGCTGTACTATGTGCGTGATAAATTTCAATATTATTAAATTGTATCTCTCATATTTAATTTGATTAGATTTGTATCTCTCGTATACATGTTTCGGCTAATTTTTTAGCCTTCTTCAGTACATACAGATGAATCCGTGGTAAGCAATAAGATATATAAAACTACAATAGCCATATATTTTCACCATTTAATATCCGCAATGTTTCCATGTGGTCAGTCACAATGCGTCTTCTCTCCAATAAATAGTTTATTGACTACCTCACATGGAAATATTGTGAATATTAAATGGAGAAACATGTAGTTTTATACATTTTATTGTTTATCACAGATTCATCTGTACTGAAGATGGCTAAAAAGTTAGCTGAAATACGTATACAAATTATTAATTAAATATGAGAGATACAATTTAATAATATTGAAATTTATCGTGCATATAATACAGCGCTAATTCCCAAGAGCCAAACTTATTATAATTATAATTGTAAGATGTTTTTAAAATTAAAAATAATTGAAAAGAACATATAAAGTTTCGAGAATGTACTCCTTAAATTCTTTGGAATGAAATTTCACTCTAAAGAGTGAAAATTCTACCAATCTTTTCCAAGAGTTCTTGAAAAAGAGTGGCAGAATTTCCAATCTTTAATAGTGGGATACCTTTAAAGTAAAATTCTATTTCAAAGAAATGAGAAAATATGAAATAAATTGAATAAGACGTATACAATATACAAGCAGTAAAACGCAAATATAGTTTATTAGCATTATAAAAATAAGGTGAAAATTTTTATTTGCGAGAATGTATAGATATCGGTAGCCATTAAGTGATTAATTTTAGTATTAAGAGTTCGAAAGAACAAGTATTAATGATAAGAACAAGCATAGAAATAGAAATGACAACATAAAAAAAATAGAACACTTTAGTGGTGCTCCCGTCTTGTAAAGAATAAATTACAGAAAATAATATTTTCATATTACGGAAAATAATATTTTTGTAGAATAATATTATGTTTCTAAAATACTTATATAAATTGTATTTAAAATATTGTAACAAAAACACATTATACAAGATCTTGCTTAATTTGTTCTTTTTGTGGAAGGAATTAATGAGAAATTGCGTGTAGAAAGAAAGAATTTTCCAATTTGTTTATTTAAATACTAATTTTAATTGTGATTAATTTAAATTAGTAATTTAGTCTCTCTCTCTCTCTCTCTCTCTCTCTCTCTCTCTCTCTCTCTCTATCTCTCTTAAAGAGATATGAAACTTCATTTAAAATTCTAACAAAGAACTGAGAGAGAAACTATTAACAAGTTCAGCATAATCTCCACAAGTTGAGAATATTTACAGTATAAGATCTAATATTAAAATTTCATAGTTTCATTCAATGCTGTCTTGTTAGTAGAACAATTGCAATCTCGTATAATTATCCAATCAACTCAGAAATCTTCAGCAAAGCTTTCACAGGGAAGACAATAACAAGCTTTTTTCGTATGCTTCGTCGCTTACTTGTCATAATCTTTCCCCCAAAGCTTTTTCCACTTGACGTAGTATAAAAGTTCTTTTAGAATGATGGGGACGTACATTTACCCTTCGGATTTCGATCACTTTATTTCACGGTACATTCCCAACCAAGCGTGATCGTAAGTTCCCACACGATCAGCTGCTTTTCTGTGGACGTAGGCTTCTATCTCGTGGGAATATTACATTTTTACAGAAGCAGCGTAGACTCCAATTTCTTCTCCGTACCACCAAACGTCGATGCGATAAAGATGTTGCGGAAGATTCGTGTTTCATCCGAATAATAAAATGTAACAAGATACTTGTTGTGTTACTTGAAATTTTATTTTCATCATTAATAATAATTCCTTGAATTCATGGTTTTGGTATTCGAAGTTCGCTTTATAGGTTACTATTTAGAGATCAATTTTTTAGTCTCCTTCTTTAATTATCCTTGATAACGTTGATAATTTATCGTTAAAGTATAATGATGAAATTATACCGATCACCTTGGATCCAAAATTATTGGAGAAAAAAATAATATGTAGCAATTAATTAATATTTGTTGTTGAAAAAATACATAGCAATTAATAAACTTTGCAATCTTCATTGGACTCGAAATAAATGTTGCCTACAATATGTTAAAAATATTTACAAAATATGATCTAATTAAATAACATAATTTTATTCATAATTCATTTACTAAAAATTTTTTTATTTTTAGAAAATATGGTAATCGCACTTCGTTTCTGTCTCCAATTTCCATCTCATCTCACGTTCTTATTATCTCTTCTATATAACGATCCATCAACCAAGCGATATCGATTACAGTTGGGACGTTTTCAGTTCGTTGAGAGGGAAAACCTTTTACAATATTCGCGAAGAAAAAATACTATTAAAAAATCCATTGCGTGCGATATATACACGCAGCATTATAACATCGTCCATCAGAAAAATTTTTACAGAAAAACATTTTTCTGTCATAATTTGCGAGTAATATTAATTGCCTTCTTATCGTTATGATAATTATTTAGCGGATATATTACGGAAGTATATAATGCTAATAAAAATAAATATTATATAAGGGCGGAGATGCAAACGACATAAACTTTCACTATCATAATAATGGTACGTTGTTACAAACAACTCAGCCATTTAATCCATTTTATCAACAATGGTGGCGGATCAAAGAGCTTATTTGCGAATGGTTATTACATAATCTAACAGAAACCGACAAATTGTTACAATAAAATTGTTACAATGTCATATAAATACAAATTTCTTTTTCATGAATTGCGTTACGGTAATATTTTAATTAAATAGCTTTAATTTATTATGCGTGACATAATATATAAATTTGCCGAATAAATTATTATTCGAAACTTAAATGCAATTAAAATGCATATTATAATTTCTATCGTTTGATTAGAGAAAAGTTGATTCACAACAATCGAAAGATTTTAAATTATTAAAAGAGAGCTAAAAATACTCGGTATTCATAAACCTAATTTAAAGTAAAAGTCACGAGTTGAGAGAATACGGAATTATCCCTGAGGGAGTGCCCTATTAATATGAATATTTAGGCGCACGGCATCGTACGGTATGCCGACCGCTAATGCTTTGCCAGCAGGTTTGAAACTTTCTGAAAGTAATGGGATTTAATTAATGACGTTGATGTGAAAGCGCAATATAGAGTATAATTAAAGCATACATAATGTAGGCTTTTATAGCATTGACAATGATGCCAGACAGTTTCCATAAATCGTAAAGTAATTTTCCTAATGAATTAATTGTTCTAATTAAATAAAGGCATTTAAAAATTTTTTAAACATTCTATTAAAAGGGATAATAATTTTATAATAGAATTTACGAGTATAAATATTTTGAAATCAAGAATATTATTTAATTCTTCCACAGTAAGAAAAAAAAATCAAATTAAAAGGTGATAAGATAAAAAAAAATTTGTATAATTATTGCTTTAATTAAGTAAAAATTATATTTGAATACTTTCAGATAAATTTTAGCATAAAACAAATAAAACAAATAAAATTAAAATTTCATTGCAAAATTATCCAAAAGATTTTAGAAATCACAATTGATACGTATGATTCTAATTGATATTTATAATTGAAAAAATTACGAGAGATTAAAATTACAATTTCAGTGAATTCCACTAATTTTAGAATATTATTACATTCTATATAATTTTATACATTAATATGATTAATGTAATTAATAATGAGATGAAGAATTCAAAACAAAAAATGGTCGATAGGTAAACATGGAGAACATGAAAAGATATAATTGCAACAACGGCAGCGAGTGCAGTATGTTGACGGGGGTGTTCAACTGCAGCCTCGGACATTGTTCAAACATGAGCGATCTGATGCTTTGTCATCACAAGGCCGACGGCATTGTCATCGATAGCGAGAAGGATAACATGAAACTGAATGGCTTCTTCAGCTGTCAACACTCTAGATGCACGAAAATCAAGAACGCTTTCAATTGCGACCGATACTGTCCGAGCATTAATACTACTGACGTGAACGTGTATCTAATGCAAGACGACAGTGTGATATCAGCCAAGTGCTCCCGTGGGATGGCCTTGAACAGAGCGAACGGTAGCCTACCTGGTATCAGATTGAACGAGCCTGTTAAAATCTGGGACGAAAAAAACAGCAGTATCGTCGCAAGCTGTTTCGCCGTAACGAAGAATGGCAATGTCATCAGGTAATGACGAATATTAATCAAGATCTTACAACGACGAATTTTCCAAATCATACGCGGAAAGAATAATTTTGCTGACATATTTAAAAATTTAGCTAGATCTGAAAATAATTTTGTTGGATGGCAAAATAATTATGTTGGAGGTTCAAGCTAGTTACTAGAACGTCAAACTTTGCAGCGTTGCTCATCACGCTTCAACAAAATCGTCCTCTTCATTTATAAATTTATTCTATTAAAATTTGATTTCGTTAGTTACAAGACAAATAGAATAATTGGAATATCATTTAACAAATAAATAGAATGAGCATTAAAAAATATGAAAAAATATTTATTATGTTAATATTTATTGCAATTAATTATATATTTACTGTACAAAGAACGCAAATTTCATATAAATTGTTAAGATATTACGTATTTTATTTGAATGTTAATTTTTTTAAAAAGATTTTATGTCACTGTTAACGATAGAGTTAACTATTGAATTCGTTCACACTGCCACGTCTTTGATGAGTGCCTTAAATGCACAGAAAAAGAACTCAATAGAAGACGCAAGAAAATCTCGAGAATTGAATTACCGTCGATAGGTGGCACTGGAGCTTTGTTGAATGATTGAATAGAGAAAATACTTTTGTCCCATTCTTTTCCCACCAGCATCCATTCGAAAAGGATTCATAACATCGTCATATAAGTAATCAATCGATAATACAATAATACTATTAATTTTAACATAGTTTACTTTAATTCTAGTTACTTTAATTTTAACATACTGCCTAAGATAAAATTATTATATTAAACAATATTATATTATATTATTATACAATTATATTATCACATAAAATGTACTTGATTTATGACATTTATGTGATATCATTGGAATGTTATTGAAGCATAATTTCATTTATCATTATTAAGTTTTTCTAAGCTAAAAAAATCGAAATTTTATTGAATCAACTATTAAAAAGGAAATGCGCTAAATGACAAAAAGAGACTAAGATATTAGAGTATATATCAATGACAGAGAAAGAGACTAATATTGGGGTGTGCCCAGTCGCAGGATCAATGGTTGCTATGGAAATACCCTATACGAGTCTATAAGAAACCGAGTATAGAGAAACAACATAGGCTTTTACGATAGAAGTAATTGACCCCAATAAACTTATCTATAAATATTTAATTTTAATTCGTATCTTTACTTACAGATATGAATTGAACATAAAAAATTCAAATATATATATATATATATATGTGTGTGTAGTAAAACTTTTTCATTAAAAAGATTAACAGAAATTGCAATGCTTCATAATACGCGTGAAAAACAATTATCTTTTTAAATTTTATTCACAGTTTATGTTTCATTCTATTTCTATCATTCACATTTCAATCACTTTTTTTAATCAAAATTGCTATGTTGTGATCGTTATCATTTTTGTTGACATTCGCAGCACAGAGGATTGCGTGAATGGTACGTTGTTGGGTGAGATTCTGGTTCCCAAACCGTCCATTAATTTCACGAGTTTCCTGAAAATTTATGAGAAGAGCCTACGGTATCCGGCGGACCCCACGAACGCCTATGTTCCGGCGCAGCAATCTTTGACTATCTACAACAGCTCGCGATTATATATCAACCTCGAGCGTTGCGTCAACACCTTGAGAGGCGAGTGTAGACAATTTCAGCTCACTCACGGTCGTGATGGCGACAATCAGACCGCGCAGAGTCGATATCCCTGTTATTACAACAAGGTAAGGCATTTTCTGTCGAAAGAAATTTGACAAACACATATGAGGATTTCGTATCAGATGTATAATATCTATGTGACTGGAATTAACAATTTAAACTTTCTATATAAAAATGAATGTTATAATCGTATAAAATAATTCAATAAAGCCAATATTTATATATATTTAACAATAATTTTATAGTTTAAATGAAAATTTTCTCATTTTATCTTTTAATTTAATTATTTTTTGAAAATATCCCTACTTTGAAATAATAATTTTTGATTCCTAAATTGCCGTTAAATCTTTTTGTATTATGTTCAAATACAATATATAATAGAAAAATCTGTAATTTTTTCATAATTTTTTATTAAAAAAAAATTGTTTTCGTGTAATATTCTTAAGCGGGTTTAATTCACTTTCCTGTAGTGGCAATTATGCTATGTAGAAAATTATATAATCTATTTCGTAACAAGTATGTTTCTTGACACACAAAATAATATTTTTTTGTTGAAAATCAAAATAATTTCTTTTTAAAGAAGATTTTACGATTTATGTTTCAAGAAATCATAAAAAAATTAAACTTGACAAATGAGGCAAAGTATAATACAATTAAATTAATAGAGAAAAAATTATTCTAATTTCCTCTCTCCTCTATGAAAAATATTTTAACTATTGTTGATTGTCATTTCCGGTATAATTGTAAAATATTAATAGATGGGCAATTCTTATTCATGTGGATGCACATATTACGCAGAACGACTCGTTATTCGTGGTTGCACGTTTCGATCTGAAGAAGACACGAATGGAGCTGTTGATCGCCGTTATCGTGCCGGCTGGACTCTTCATCATCAGTGTGATCACCCTGATTATCATTTCGCGATCGGTGCAGGTGGGAGACGACGCGAAGATGCGATGCAGATACTGCGTTGATAAGCAAGAGGTCGAGGGCGAAGACCAAGGCCTCGTAGAGGCAACGTCCTCCACGACTCAAAGTCAGGTCAATGAGAACGAGATTAGAAGTATGACTCTTTAGCAGTACAAGCCGCTCGGCATAGGCACTACGCTGGGTTATGAAAAGCTGCCATTGATCGACATGGACGAGGCTGAGGATTCCTTTTAGAAGAAAATGCGAGACCTAATTTTCAAAAGATCGTGATGCTGGAAAGATCCATCCAAGACAAAACTCTACAGATAAAATCCAAATGTGAGTAAAGTTAAATTCTCGAATGGACATTAACGTCGTCTTCCGGAATGAGGTGTAATCAATTTCTTTACTGTTACAATTATAATCATTGTAACGCGCAATGACATGGACGTTACAATGGTGTGACTGATCGTTGTGTTTGAAATGAAATTTAAATTCAAGTGATCTCTGCCAATGAAACTCATCGAAAGTAACCCTTTTGGGGTCCAAGTTAATATTATTGACTCTTCAATTATGTATTGATGGAATATATTTGTAGGTATGCTCACTGTTGCCTTCGATGTATCGTTATTATTTTGTTTGCGCGCAAGACAAACGAATTGACACTGAATCACACAGAATCATCGGGACGTAGTTTTAAGATTTTGCCTCCAAATATATTTAGGAAACTTTCATAAAAAATGTGTCATTCTCTTACTTCAAAAGTAACACAAGAATTCAAAAACACTAAGAATGTGATTTTACTGTTATCATCATGAATAAAATAAGTATTACCTTATCAATTATCAAAGGTGAACTAATTTAATTTCAATAAAAATTTTATTTTAGACCGTACGTGAGAACACAACTAATATAAATTATAAATTAAAAGCCTATAACTGTCGAAGCTAGACCTTTAATGCTTAAATAATTCAATGTGAATTATATACTATATATGTACATACATATATATCATATTTGTAGTTATTTAAACTGCGCGCCGGATTGATTTTCTGAATTTATAAACGCAATTAAACTACTGTACATAATTGTAATATTATTACAATAGTTTAATTGCGTTTATAAGTCCTCGGAAAACTAATTCGGTGCGCAGTTTGAATGACTACAAATATGGTGTATATGCCTAAATTATAAAATATATATATATATATATAATTATATATATAATTATATATATATATATAATTCACATTAAATTATTTAAGCATTAAAGATCTAGTTTCGTTATAGACATTTAATTTCTAATTTAATTTTATTATTATATTAAAAAATCGTAAAAATCGTCACAACTAAAAAAACGTGATTTTAAAAGAAGCTCAAATCTTTATTATCAAAATCTTCATTGTTAAAAGAGGATAATTTTTTTTAAGAATTATGAAACGAAAATAACATTTGATTATATTAAGAATATATTCTTTTTGTTGATTATTTGATTAGTCGATAATTTTCTGTCAAGTTAAATATAGTTTTTCTCCATTTTTGACAGGAACTTTGACTTAATTTTTTGAATATTACTTTTGAAGTAAGAAAGCAATATGTAATATACAATTGTTTAATGCCACTGTGTGGCAACATTTTTACGAATGCTTTTACGAACAATAATGGCGTTAAAACAATTGCATCTCCGTGCAATAAAATAAAAAACAAACAATTCATTAATCAACGAAGACAAAACAGAACAAGTGATGGAATGGATAAACGCTGAAGTATCCATTATAGTACTTCGCGAGACAACATTCTTTTTTTATAAGAATCGCGATTTCTGCGCAAAACATGAACAAGCTTATTTATGTACATCGTGTAAGATAATATGACGAGACTTATCGCTCGTTTAATATTCGGTTGACAACGAACGTGCATTTATATTTTTTCTACATCCACTTATTGTGTGCTACACTTGTAGTTAACTCCGTATTATTACCGTACTATAATTAGATATATGTACGTATCCTAATGCCGCTGGTGAAAACACTTAATATGATTCCCTATTTCTGATACGCGAACTCGAGTATTATGACTGCCTACGTGTAAATTATAATTGTATAGTAGATACATTGTATATTACATATACTTACGATACATAAATATCAGTACCTTGCGATGTAAATATATAA